ACATATTCTCTGACCACAATGCTTTGAAACTGGAGATCAAATATAGAAAGTGCGAAAACCCAAATATGTGGAGATTAAACATGCTACAAAACAACTATTAGGTCAAAGAAGAAATAAAAGATCAAAATGAAATAAAAGGAGAGGTCAAGAGAAACATAGAAACAAATGAGAATGAAAATACAACATATCAAAACTTTTGGGATACAGCAAAATCAGTAATAAGAGCAAAGTTCATATCATTATAGGCCTAACTCAAAAAAAACAAGAAATATTCCAAATAAACAATCTAACTCTACATTTAAAGGAACTAGGAAAAGAAGAACAAACAAAATCCAGAGTAAACATAAGGAAAGAAATAATTATGATCAGACCAGAAATAAACAAAATAGAAATTTTTAAAAAGTAGAAAAGATCAATGAAACTCAAAGCTCATTCTTTGAAAAGATAAATAAAATTGACAAACTTTTAGCTAATCTTATAAAGAAAAAAGAAGAGTAAGCCCAAATAAATAAAATTATAAATTAAAGAGAAGTTATAAACAATAATTATATGCCAAAAAATTGACAATCTAGAAAGAATTATAAATTTCTAGAAGTATATAATCCTCCAACACTGAACTAAGAAGAAATAGAAAATCTAAAAAGTCTAATAATTAGCCATGATATTTAAGCCATAATAACAAAAATTCCCAAAAAATAAAAGTTCATGACCAGATGGCTTCAGAGATGAATTCTACCAAAGTTATAAAGAAGAATTAATGCCTAGCTTTCTTAAATTATTTCAAACAATCAAAGAGGAAGAAATGCTTCCAAACACACTCTACAAGGCTTACCCTCATACCAAAATCAGGCAAAAACATTACAAAAAAAGAAAACTACAGGTCAATATGCTCGATTAACATACATGAAAATATTCTCAACAAATATTAGCAAACCGGATTCAACAATACATTAAAAGGATTATATACCATGATCAAGTGAGATTTATCTGAGAGATGCAAGGAAGTTTCAACATTTATCAACCAATTAACAGGATGTATCACATTAACAAAATAAAGTATAAAAAACCATATGATTATCCCAATAGGTGCAGAAAACTCATTTCACAAAATTCAACATCTTTTTATGATAAAAACTCTCAATGAAGTGGGTATAGAAGGAATATACTCCAACTTACTAAAGCATATATATGAAAAATCCATAGTTAATATCATACACAATAATAGAAAGCTGAAATCTTTTCTGCTAAGATGAGAGAAAAGAAAAGTAGACCCACTATCACCACTTATACTCAACATAGTATTGGAAGCCCTAGCCACAGAAATTAGACAAGGAAAAGGAAAAAAGGCATCCAAATCAAAAAGGGAAAAGTTAAACTCTTACTATTTGTAGATGAGATAATACTATGTATAGAAAAACCTACAGACTCCATTCAAAAACTGTTACAACTAAGAAATTCAGTAAAGACACTGAATACAAAATCGATATACAGAAATCTGTTATGTTTTTATACACCGATAAAGAATGATCACTAAGAGAAATTAAGGAAACAATCCCACTTCCAATAGCATCAGAAAATATAAAATACCTAGTAATAAATTTAAATGGAGTCGAAAGACATATACTCTGAAAACTATAAGACATTAAAGAAAGATATTGAAGACGATACAAATAAAGGGAAGTATATACCATGCTCATGGATTGGAAGAATTAATATTGTTAAAATGTCCTTACTACTTAAAGCAGTATACAAATCCAATGGAAGCTCTATTAAAATACCAATGACATTCTTGTCACATCTACATATTCTGAACTACATATTCTGAAATGTATATGAAACCACAAAAGACCCTGAATAGCTAATGAAACCTTGAGAAAAAAAAAGTGTGAGATATCACACATTCCCACTTCAATCTATACTACAAACTACAATAATCAATACAGAACGGTACTGTCATAAAACCAGATATATAGATCAATGGAATAGAAGATAGAATCCAGAAATGAATTGCCATTAATATGACCAATTAATCTATGACGAAGAAGGCAAGAATATACAATGGGGGTAAAGATGGTCTCTTTGATAAGTGGTTTTGGAAAAACTGGACAGATACATGCAAAAAAAAATGAAATTGGACCACTTTCTTATGCCATATATAAAAATAAACTCAAAGTAGATTAAAGACTTAAGTGTAAGACCTGAAGCCATAAAAACCCTAGAACAAAACAGCAATAACCTCTTTGACATCTGTCTTAGTGATGTCAAAACAAAACAGTAGTGTAGCATATCTTTTCAGATGCAACTTCTCTAACAAAGATAACAACAACAATAAGAGGAAATGGGACAACATTGAACTAAAAAGTTTTTCACAGAAACAGGAAACCATCAAGAAAATGAAAAGAATCTACTGAATGGGAAATATATATTTACAAATGATACATCTGATAAGAAGTTAATATCCAAAATATATTAGGAACTCATACAACTTAACAAACAGGATATACAGATAGATAGTGGACAAGGACTAATCATCAGGGAAATGCAAATTAAAACTACAATGAGATATCACTTCACACCTGTTTGAATGGCTATAAAAAAAATCAACAAATGAGAAGTGCTGGCAAAAATATGAAGAAAAGGAACCCTTGTGCACTGTGGATGGGATTATAAATTGGTGCAGCCACTATGGAAAACAGTACAGAGAGTCCTCAAAAAATTAAAAATAGAGCTACCATGTGACCCAGCAATTCTACTACTGTGTACTTATCTGAAGAAAACAAAACATTAATTCAAAAAGATATATGCAATCCTACATTACTTACAATAGTAGTGTAGCATTACTTACAATAGCCAAGATATGGAAGTAAACTTGTTGTCCATTGATGAATGGATAAAGATGTGGTATATACATACAACGGAATAATACTCAGCAATAAAAAAGAATGAAATCTTGCCATTTGCAATAACATGGATGTACTTAGGGAGTATTATGCTAAGTGAAATAAGTCAGAGAAAGACAAATACCATAGGATTTGACTTTTATGTGGAATCTTAAAAAAAACAAAACAATTGAATAAATGAAACAAAAGAAAAACACAACCATAGATATGGAGAATAAGCTGATGGTTGTGGAGGGTTAGGGATGGGTAAAAAGAGAAAAAAATATTAAA